ATTGATAATTTATTCAGTTGGCATAATTGGTTTGGCCATATCAATTTAAGTATGATGTGCAAAAATAATAGAGAATTCACATGGGTAAATATTAAAAAAACTAGAAAGTTCTTTACGAATTCTCTTATATTGCTTGTTCTCGTTAATTAATTGACCAACTAAAATTGGGATTGAATCCCATGAATGCTGAAAATATCAAAGGTGAATATGGGTCCATTCACCTGCCATGTATACCACATAAGATACATCTATGAGATGGTTACATGTGCAATTATTATTAACTCGCAACATGGTATTTTGCGAGGTAACTTGCTCAATAGTTTAATTTCAAGCATAATTTCCAGATTTTCTATTCAAGAAGTTCATCTTGATAAGTTGGTTTATATCACAACCAGTTTAACAAAATAATTTATTGAGTGTCTCCACTTAATAGCTAAACTATTGCTTATGAGAACAAAGTTATCTATATCAGTTTGATATAGGTTATATACGTTTCGTATATTACATTCTCCCCTCACAAATGGTTCAGGGTCAGGAACCAAATAATTCCATCTTATTATTATTGATGTGCAGTATATATTGATTAATACCATAACGCACAAAGATGGGTTCTCAAAGTTGAGGAAACAAGTTAATTTTTCTAACATGAGGAAGAGACATGATAAACAGTTGAGAAAATGTTGTGTGGAATGAATTATCATTTGTATATCTAGATCCTCAAATACGATAATATGAACTTGAAGTTCATAAAAGGATAATTCATTTGCAATATATTGCAAAGCATGCCAGACGCATTTGCTGGTCCAAAGAAAGTAACTATATTCTCATTGCAAATTCTCCTATTAAGTCTTAGAAGGACAAAGTCTATGGTACGCTTAAAGCGTATATACTAATTGGTTTCAAATAAAACTTCTTGATAAAGAAGATGAGCAAATGATCAAAATGATCATAATAAAGGAGGCAAGTGATCTAGAAGATCACATGACATAACACTTCATAAAATCTCATGAGAGATCTAGGTACCTGAATATATAAATGAAGAGATCTCTATGTTATGTCTTTATGAAGAAATATTGAAACCTATATAAAATGTTTGTCGACGACATCTATCATAGCGCTAAGTATAGATGAGGATCTTAATTAAGTCTATCGAATATAGACACAAAAATATTGGCCAAATGGAAGAGACACAATTCGAATAGAATTGGTTTCATATGAAAAAAATGTTGTTTTGGACCTGCAATTCAAATACTTGAAAGTATAAAGCCCATGATATGTGTAGTCAGTTTTCGATATCTTATATGTCTAGCATGACATAAAAACTTGATATGCATCTAAAGTCTGTTATATGGCTTATATGACTTAACTTATATGACAATCCATGAAGGATTTAAGTTGCTTGAAGCATCTACAATTCTTGATCTTGAGGTACCACTTCCTCAGTGCAATTTGTGCACAAAAGTATCTTGCTATAACTATAAGCATGATAATATGATAGCAAGAGTCTTTACCCCTATGTGAAGATATTGAACTGACGATTCTAACAAGATCATATGAAGACAATACATCTTAGCTTCTACCAAAGATCTTTTGAAGATGGTGCACAAGATTGGAATGCAAATGCTTAAAGATGTGAATTGATGCTCTCATTAGGGGGAGTTAATGCGCGTTGCACTCTTTTTCCCTTACAAGGTTTTATCCCACTGGGTTTTCCTTGCAATATTTTTAATGAGGCAACCAAAAGGCGTATTGTTAGATATGTGTACCCTTTTTCCTTTACTAGAATTTTTTTCCCACTGGATTTTATTTTAGTTAAAGTTTTAACGAGGCACATTATCTGTTGAATAGACATTCAAGGGGGAGTGTTACAAATAGAATTCTATTTATGGTGAATGTCTATATTTAGAGAGATTCTAGGGTTTATTACTTGATGGCTAAGTCACTCTCTCTCTATAAATAGAGGGTTCTATTCTGATGTAAATCATCCCATATCAATAAGAATTTCCTCTCCCTACTTTTCTCTGCAATACTCTTCTTCTTCTTTTATTGTTTTATAACAAAGATAAAAAATTTCCAAATATAAAAAATTATCATTCTTTTTGTCACGGACTAAAAAAGGAAATAGTTTCATAAATTGAAACGGACGTGGAGTATAAAACTAAGGCATCATGCTTTTTCCGAACAATTCATTGAGAGTATGTGAATTATTAGTTTGTCTAAGATTTAATTTTAAATCCTTTGAACTTGATAAAGATGAATAGACCAATTCAACATAATCAATCTTTACTAAAGTAGTTGAATTATATACCATGGCACAAAAAATCTCCTGGCAAATACTTAATCAGTTTTAGCTAGCCTCTCGCCCAACCAAATCTATTATTCTAGTTTCTAAAATCTTCTGCTAGTCGCAAACTAACTCACTGGGATATATTCAAAAAAAGAAAAAAAGAGAGAGATGTTTCCTCTAAAACTGATTATGTAATAGGGATTGTATTATGTAATAGGATAATAGTACCTTATACTAGTTTCCTCTCTAGTTTTACCAAGTGCTAGTAAGAGTTGCCTAATTGGGTGGGATGCTACTACTACTTTATAAATGAAAATATAATGATGAAATTATACAAGGAGTAAGTAGCTGAGTTCGTCTTTTTACTAACTTTAATTTTCAGAACTTATTAGTGCTGACAAAGTTACTGCAAAGTTGCCACACACCAATGAATTGGTGATATCCTTTGCGTGTTCAAACCTCCAAAACCGATCTTTGCTAGATAGAGTTATTTCTGTCAAGCTTTAGAATTCAAGCTTAGAAAGCTTCACAGCTACAATGGAGGAAACAGTTAAAAGCTTCCAGAATATCGACCGAAGAAAGGAGAAACAGAGAGGGAGTCTCTAATTGACAGTTAAAAGCTTCCAGAATATCGACTGAAGAAAGGAGAAACAGAGAGGGAGTCTCTAATTGAGAAAAGTGAAACTCAAATTCAATTATGTTGCAGAGTAGTTCTTCTATACAATGAGCACTGACTGAGCACTAAGCTAACTAACTAATCTGGAAATGATAGCTAATAGACAGCTAAGCATTAACTAATAACTAACTAACAGATAACAATAACTGACTAAAGCAACAGTAATAACTAACTACTGAATAAATACAATTCTACTCTTAATACCCCCCCCCCCCC